GAGGCGTTCTGCAGAGGGTAGAGCACGAAGGGCGCATTGTCATTGTCATCCAGCACCAGCACGCGCACCAGCACCTGGCTGCTGAGTGCGGGGGAGCCTTGGTCTGTGGCTCCCACAAGGAACTCGAAGGCCTGCAGGGCCTCATAGTCCAGGGCCCTGAGTGCAAACAGCTGCCCATTGTCAGCGTTGATGGAGATGAGTGAGGTCAAAGCCAGCTGCGGGTCATGGGGCGGCAGCAGCGAGTAGGTGATGTGGGCGTTGGAGCCAGAGTCTGAGTCTGTGGCTCTGATGGTGCCTATGAGCAGGGCGGGGCTGTTGTTCTCGCGGACAGACAGGGTGTAGGAGGATTGGCTGAAGGCGGGGGCGTTGTCGTTGACGTCGGACACCTGCACTGCTATGGCGTGCTGGGTTGTGAGCCTGGGTGAGCCCATGTCGGAGACGGAGATGGTGATGTTGTACTCGGCTCTGCTCTCTCTGTCCAGGGGGCCCTCAGTTTCTAAGTGGTAGTAATTTTCAATAGAAGATTTTAGCACAAACGGGAGATCCTCTGGAATAGAACAGACCATCCTGCTGTTGTCTCCGGAGTCCTTGTCTCGGATACTAAAAATCATAACTAAAGTGTCTGCAGTGTTTTCTGGGATTGGACTGATAAATGATGACACAGCAATTTCAGGAAAATTGTCATTCACATCTATCACCTGAATTCTTACTGTAGATTTCCCAAAATGTCCTCCCCGATCAGTAGCTTTAATGATTATTGAGTAGGATGCAGTTGTTTCATAGTCCAAATAGCCTATTAAACTTATTTCTCCAGAGTTTTTGTTAATTGTGAATGTTTTTCGAATATCCTCTGATGCATGGGAAAAAGCATAGGATACTTCACCATTACTTCCCGAGTCTAAATCCCAGGCGGACACTGTGATAATCAGTGAGCCAAGCACACTGTTCTCTGGAATCGTCACTTCATAGAGCGTGTGCTCAAACGCGGGGGAGTTGTCATTAATGTCTATGACTCTCACTCGAACCAAGGCAGTCCCAGACCTGGGTGGAGCGCCACCATCCGAGGCGGTGAGGATGAGACTGAGCTCGGGCTGCTCCTCATAATCCAGCGCCTTGTCCAAAACCAACTCTGGGAATTTCCTGCCATCTGGATTAACTCTCATTGTAACATGGAAATGAGGGCTCTGGCTTATGGCATAGCTTTTTACAGCATTGATTCCTACATCTAAATCTGTCGCACTTTCTAGTAAGAACACAGCACCAACAGGGCTATTCTCTGGGATGTCGAGAATCATTTCCTTTTCCAAGAATGTGGGGGAGTTGTCATTTATATCTATGACCTGAAGCTCGGCTTGCAAAATCTGTATGGGTTTTTTCATTAACACCTGGAAATGCAGCACACAGGGCTGGATGGAGCCACACAGCTCCTCCCGGTCTAGCGGTTCACTTAGGAGCAAATCTCCTGTATTTACATTCAAAAGCAAAGGCAATTTGTTATCGTTAGAGGCCACCTGAGCCCCTCGAGAAGACAGCTCAGCCACCTCCAGTCCCAGGTCCTTTATCAAATTCCCCACCAAGGCCCCACTCAGCGTTTCCTCCACCACTGAAAGTCTCCCAGGCTCAGCGTGAGCTTGAGACATTCCCAGCCAAACAAAGAGAAGCAGGACTTGCCTGGTCTGCAGATAGCTTCCCCCTCTATTCTCCATAGCTCCTTCCCAGCAGGCTTCTGGCAGAATCACTTCTGCTCCACCACACAGTTCTGAAAAACGTGCCCCTTGATTTGTCCACAGAATCCTCAGAATCCGAAGGATATACGATTTCTAGGCAGCACCTTCATGGCTTGTTGTTTCTTCCTAGTTTTCTGTGCTCACTTGGGCTGTGTGTCTGCAGCATTTAATGTATTTTTTTTCTGTAACATTATCCTGCAGCGCCACCATGTGTCCTCACAGAGATTCACAGTTCGATGAATGCTACTTAAATTCCATTCACATCCAATGTCCCCCAGAAACAAGTATTTGTTGTTTATGGGATTACCATATATATATATTTTCATCAGGGTTCTTTATAGCTCATGATGATGTTAGTGCTTGTTTTAAAGCTCTCTGTAAGTATCTCAGGAATTGCTAGGTTTAACACATCCCTTCACCACTTGGCCTTGATTAGGTAGAAAGGGAAAGAGAAAATGTCCTTGGAAAGTTTCAGAGGTTCTCCTTGGGTTATAAAACTGGATTATGCAGGAGGTGGAGAACATTAAGAACCGTATAAATTCGTAGTTTAGTTCCCGTTTCTTACACGTGACAATTCAGTGAGTGGTGCACAAATGGAAACGTGCTGTTTCACGTAAAGCACATTCTTACTCCTAAAGCTGACCTCCCTGGGGTTCCCAAAATATTATGCCAACAACACACAGCAGTTCGGGAGAGGGGGAGAGAAGTTTGCTTTCCTAAAGAGAGCAAAAAAATATTAATCTCTGATGAAACCAATTGATGCACATTCCTGTTAGTGAAGTAATACACAGTTACTTGAATGCCGCATTATAGGGATAGCTTTTAGTCACAGAGCCTGAAGGCCTGCCTTGCGCTTGTTTAACTCTGACTAGTATCTTCTCTGAAACTTGGAGGGGGTTTAGCCATAACTGAAGTTCACAGTTGCTCCCAAAGGAGGAGACTGTTGGGAATAGATGCTAGCAATTCCTGAACAATGTCCAAAATTTCAAAAGTACCCAAGGGAAGAATGGACATTTGGAGATGAAAAACACTAAGTTTAAATCGAACTTTAAAAAAATATGAGTTATACATACAGTTGAAAAAAATAAACCAGCACAAAAGATAGAAATTGAAGGGTAGGTGGGCTGGAGGTATGCACAGTTAATCCTTCCACCTTTAGAGCAGCTGTTAAGCTAATAGAGAAGTAACAATATTGAGAACTCACAAGATTCAACTGCACAAGGTTTGTTTAATGACAGGAAGCAGATGGAAGAAACTCACAATGAAGTTCCTCAGTGGGGATGGTGACACATCACTAGAGATGGGGCAATTAACACATTCATCTGTGTAACAGAATATCATTCACATTCCAGATTCAGAGAAACTGGAAGACTGAAATCAATCATGAGATGAACCAGTTATTATTTTAAAGTCTATTTACAGTAGTGTTGAATTCTCTGTTTCCAGTGTCTACAGAGACAGGAAAGTCACTTGTGGGAAAGAATGGATACTTGATTTTGAAGAGATTAGCAAACGTTCTCTAGTCTTTGACATTTATGTAGAGCTGACAAAAGTATGAAATAAAACTAAGGAAAGTAGGACTTTAGATTTTTGAGTAGTGAGGCTTTAAGTCTTTTCTCAAGAAACACTGCAAGACTGTAGAAAACAAGGTGTGTTGCTGACCCTTAATCTGACACAGTAGATATTCCAGATTTCTAACCTGAAGAGTGGGAAAAATCAAATAAATTCTTACACTTACTGATGTTGTGGGTCTGATTACATAATACCTCTTACTTAGTGTGGTAACATTAGAATGAAGTCTTGCCATCGACACCTGTCAGTCACAAAGGTTGGTAGCCAGTTTTGTAATGCAGAATTCTTCATTATTAGAATACAGCCAAGGACTACATGATATTTGAGGGGATGCCTATATTATGAAGTAGAAACCGAACCAATGTTCATGACCATAAAGATAGTTTATTGAGTAAGAACATTTTCTGTGCAAACCTGAGAACATGGTTTCAATCTCTAGTATTTGTGTAAAAGGCCAGATGCAATACTGCATATCTTTAATCAAAGTGCAGACAGCAGATGCAGAAAAGAGAATCAACACACACACACACACACACATCAACAAACAAAAGAAACAAGAGGAAATGCATATAGTCAGATGGAAGAAAGTGTCTCTCTGGAAATGTCTGACTAATATCCCCAGAAAAATAAAATCTAAGAACAAATGATTACTTACATCTTCCATAATCCTTTGTATTTCAATTTCATGTACCCATTTCATGTTAATAACATTTGCATGGAGTATAAGTTCTTATAATAAGACAAACAATAAATTACAGGTGGGACATATTGAGTTTTGTACCTGTAGTCTCAAGATACAAGGAGCAGAGTTAGAAAGATTTGAGGCAAATTTGAGGCTACCGTGTTCTACATAGTTGCATCCCTGATTCAAAGTTGAAAAAGAAAACAGAATAGATTAGGAGACTTAAGTTTTTTATTTTTGCAAACTGTTAATTTTGGTAAATTTCTTCAACTTCTGTGGCTTACACTTAATTTTAAAAATGACCACAGAAGACTAATAATACTGTACACTATATACCCTCACAATGTAGCCCGAGAGAGAAAATTACAGATAAGGGAAAATATTACATTTCCAATGACTAGTGTTTAAAAATAGCAAAAGAAAAACTTCCAAAAAAGTATTTTTCTGCCAGAAAAGAAAGTTTACAAATAACAATTGAATGATTAAATGAGCAGTGCAAGAAAGTAGAACATGAGGCAAGTTAAGAGCAGAAATACAAAACCAAACAAGCCTGGAATTTTAAAGAATATGCCCAGTCAGTCAAATATTTAATTCATATTTTCAGAAAATGCAGCAGAGAAATTATAATAAACTAAAATGACAATTTCTCTGTGAGTCTAAACATTGACAGGGTTATGTACTTGTGAACAGGTTAACAAAGAAATAGCCCATGCTATGGTATTCTCAGACTATGGAGGGTGAGTTCTCCAGTGATTCTGGAATGAATAGGAAAAACTTTTCAGAAAATGTAATAGCGTCTAGAATGAAATTTTTCTTGTGAAAGGTGAGTCTACACAATTGAGAAAAGAAAAAAAAGTCCTTTTTTAAAATCTAAGGGAGAAAATTGAAACTTTTCCTTTTATACCCAGTCAAACTATCAATCAAATGAAAATATTGCTTCACTATATAAAGTATCAATGGTTTTTTTTCAACTATCTCTGCATATATTTTAATGAAATTGGCTGCCAACCAAATAAGAAGGGTGGGCAGTGTTAAAAGCATGACAGCCATAGCGCAAATAGTCTATAAAAAGAAGAGCTATGAATAGAAGATCTCTAGGAAATAAAGGCAATTAACTTGTTTCTGATCTATTTAATTAGTGGAAGGCAAAAAGTTAATATTCAAGAGAAATATGACGTGAAAAATCAATACCAAGAACAGAGGGTACAGCTCATGGTAACCCACCACTTTGTTTGCTCACTTAGCATGGAAAGAGACAAACAGAAAAAATCACTAGCAGTAAATAGAAATTTAGCCAAGTCTAAGACAGTAGCTATCAGCTCTGGGAAAAATATTTTCAAGAAATAAAAATCATTTTGCACTACTAAGTATGTATATATAAAAAGACCTATTGAGGTGGAGCTTAATATTAGTTTCATGTCAGGGACGATTCTCATTTAAGAAGCCTTGAGTTTGACCCTGGAAACACACAGAAACAAAACTGACAACATCTTCGAAGACAAATGTGCATCTTTCCTATGTGTGTCTATTGATAGGAATAAGAACTGTAATGAGTGGGTAGCACATCAAAGCCAATTATCAAGATAAAGTCTAAACACATCATCTGGAAATAGATCAAAATTGAAGAAAAACTGTGTAGAAAGAGACTCGAGATAAAAATTATTTTCTCTGTAACCTTTAATTTATCTCAGTTTCTAAATCTGACAATTAAAAAAAATCTCAATATAAAATGGAAATTATCTTTTTAGCAGTCAGTTAATATTTGCCACACAAACATTTAAATGTGTTCAAATTTATGTTGATTTTCATGCAGGTCATTACATTGAATTTGCATTATATGATACACTCTGTTTTATATGTCAGCAAGAATGAACATAAGAAAGAGCTCTTGCCAGCACATGCCTTTGATCCCAGCACTTGTGATGCAGAGGCAGGTAGTTTGAGGCCAGCCTAGTCTACAGAGCTAATTCCAGGACAGCCACAGGACTGCATAGAGCCCTGTCTCAAACAAACAAACAAACAAACAAACAACAAAGAGCTCTTAAGGGAGATGGGAAATAAAGCACAGCAAAATAACTGTGATAAGAAAGAATGGGGTACTCACTGGGAATAAGAAGGGAGGCAGTGAGGCAGCAAGGGTTAGGAATGAATGAAACCAAAACATGACACCTTTTTGTGCAGAAGTAATGCTGAAATCCATTAATTACTATGCTAGTACAAAAAATTATAAGAATATTCAAAATTGTAAACATGGAAAGGGGCTTGTAAGGAAGGAAGAGAAGTATAGGCTATACAGGGAGATTCAGCAGGAGTTTATAATAACAGAATACATGCCATAAATGTGTAAAACTGCCAAAGAACAAACTCAGTAAAAGTTAAAAGAATATACAGCTTTTTAAAGTGAATATAAAGTATGCCCTGCTAGAGATAAACCTCAGTGATGGAATAATTGTTAAGCATGCAAAAGGCTTGGGGTTAATTCTTAGCAACAAAAGAAAACAAAATAATAACCTCAATAAAACCCCAAACATCAGTTTTCTGTATTGAGAAATGACAACAAATTACTGGGAACTATGAAAGAATCAAACCTTCAAACCTAAAGTAGTAAATACTCTATTTAAAAAAAAAGCACTAAACTACCACTAAAGTAAAAAAAAAAAAAAAGGTTAAAATGTAATTGTGACCTACTTGGTAGTTGAAAATGAAGTTATCTTTGTTGCGTAGTAGTTGCTATACATGGCTGTTTTCATATATCAAATGGGATGAAAGGTTACTCAAATTTAATGAGACATTCCAAAATGTGGGCTTTTTATCACTCATGCTCTAGGAACCATGAGCATGAACATCAGCGTAAATCGGTTTCAAAAACTTGAAATCACTGGTATCAGAAGAGCCTCCCATCAGACACACCTCATACTGGTAGCTCTGGGACAGGGTTCCTGTACCGCTGACATCCAC